TTGGTAATGCACTTTAATACCCTAAAGTTTCATCTTTTTGTAACTTTGATACCTGAATTTTAAATTTATCCCAATAATATGCAAAGTTTCACGAATCATAACTTCAGTTCCTTCTGTTACATTATATCAGTTCATGGTTTTGTTTAAAAGATTCGAATTTTATACCCCTACACTGAGATGAAACCCCTCTGAATCCCTATCTCAGTTAAAATACTGAAATTGAATGTCGAGCTGTAGCAAAAATAACCCCGGTTTAACAATGTTCACAATCAAAGATTGAGAGGAAACCTTATATTGAAAGTAAGAATTATCAAGAAAGGATTGTTTTTGGCAATCTAACAATGAGATAACAGAAGGTATTGTAGTTAAAGAGGGTGAAACTTTAGGCTATTATTTGGGTAAATTTAAACTTCAGGGTACCGATGTTGAAAATCAAGGGAACATAGGGTATTAAAGCGCGATTAACCCTTTTGTAACTCTATAGTGCTTCAGAATTTGCATGTAGAAGCGATTTTGAATATTTGGAGTTTCAGAATTAGCTTTTCTGTGCATTGATAGTACTTTTCACATTTCTCAAGGTCACGTGTGGAGGTTGCCAGAGTGCTCACACTGCAGCTCTTGGTGGGATATTCTTTACTTTTAATATGAATATGTAGATGTAAATGGTGGAGGCTGACTTGAGATTGGAACAGCTGTATGTTGTGCTGAGAGGGGAATGAGGTCACACTTGCTACTTAGGGGAGAGCAGCCAGAGATTGCTACTGGATATAATCTGGTATCTTTGATGTATGGCAATGTGAAGTATGTAGCTAGATCGAAGTATGCGCAAAGGGAGGAGATGCTTACTGAGCATGCCAATTTGGTGTCGTGTGATGGTGGTTGTGTCATTCATGTCGATGATATTCTCGCATCTGATTCTGGTGATACTAGCTTGAAGTTGGATTGTAGTATGCACATTCCTCCGCAAGTTAAAAGTGAGATAGGTGTACGAAGAGTTGTGATTGTGAGTGAAGGTGCAGGGGATGCAATTGCATTATTAGGTGAGATAATGTTACTTCATGTTTTTGACTTCTTTGCTTGTTTTGTACTAAATAATGGGATGTGAGCTGACACCTGACCTAAGTTACGGCTTGGAGCGGTTTATATCTTCTTAGTGGGCAGTTTTGGACTGCCACAATTGTTTATCATGATCTTTATCCCATGAGTACATTTAGCATACCCTGCATTTTTATGACTTTACAGCTAGATAGCATTTGATTCTCCATTTTAAAAAAATAGCTAGAAATATCTCTATTTGTTATAAGTTTTTTTTACAAGTCAGTATCCTGATAGCATTTTCCTATTGAAGTATGGTCTTTAGTGTATACATTACTTATCACGTATCTTAAATATGCAATGTGAATAAAATGTATGAGAAGTGTGAGATTGTATCAAAAATTTATACAGTTCTTATTCTAATTTAAAGCATGTTTTATTAATTGAAGACACATTTGAGTAAGTGGATAATCCATGGAGTTTCCGAGAACTTTTAGTGTTCAACGTGGGTGTTGGCATGTCCAACACAATCAAATCTTCATAGTGAAAGTATCCTTGCTACATAGAGTTTGAATCTCAAAGGATTTTCCCGTGTATTCGTTAGGTATTTTATGATAATTTATGAGCAGTACAACCATTTCACTTTACTCCTGTCTAATCTATTAGTTTCTGCCGTCTTATTGTTACTGAGTATTGAAATGATATGGTTTGCTAGTGTTAATGGGTACGTACAAATGATTATGTGTGCCTTGCGTGCAGCTTGTGCATTGTCTCATATGCTTAAGTACCAACTTTTAAACAGATGTTGCCAAATTTATCTCTTTTCTTAATCAGCTATTTGATGCCTATGATGTTTTGATATAACATTTCTTTAATGTCTACAAGTCTTTCAAATGACAATAGGTTTGGTTGTTGATAGAAGTACTGAAGTACTGTATGAATTTTCTCATTCAGGCCTCATTCGGTTTGTGAAGTATCTTTCACAACCTCATGTATTTGGAAAAGAGCAAAACATTAATTTGGTTGTGGATGCGGGTACTGGGACTACCGCTATTGGTTTAGCTCTTGGAGCCCTTTATTTTGGGTATATTTCTTGTTCTACTACTTTGTTATCTTGCAAATAGTATAAAACCGAAGGATCAAGCTGGCTGTCTTTATACTACATGAGTATACTCCTTGATTCAGATTCATAGTGGCTACATGAGGATTTACAAAAATTCGTCCGGACTATGGTTGTATGTTTCATTGATTACTAGCATACATAATCGTGAACAAACCTCCGCGTTCTGAAGAAAACATGCTATGCAAGAAAGCAGACGAATCCTAAAACAAGTTGTCTGTATGTGTCTCAGGAATTGTTCTACATACATTCACTTGATGTTTCTACACGTATGCATATGCTTGTGCATGCAAATGGGCATTTTCCTCACCACTATGTTCCCAGTGTACATAGTTTGTCTTGGAGGGGCAAAAACAATAAGCATTATATTGGAGCATCATGCTTTTTTGCATAATAGTTTTCTAAATAGAGGGTTGTTGCTGCTGCCCGTTGGAGTTACATTGCTTGAATTCATTTGCACTTTTACATTTTCTGTAATAAATATATACAAAAGATCACATTATTCATATTCTGTTTTATTTCATTAAACAGGTTGCCGTGGAAAGTAACTGCAATAATGCTTGCAGATACAATTGAAAAATATAAGGAAAAGGAGAGATGGTTGATATCTGATTTCAGGAGGATTTATCAATCTGAATTTTTAGGGCAAACAGTAGGTGAAGCTGGTGACAGCATTGTGCAATGGGTTGAGCGAAGCCATCCGAGAAAGTAAGGTCTCTTGAGTATAGAGTGATGCATTTGTAGATGTATTTCTTTCCTCTCTATGATTCTTTGTGTTCTTGCTGGTGTAACATTTAGAAGGAACAAATTACATGTTGATGCAGATTTGGAAAGAGTTGCTCGATAAGGACATGATCTAGTAAGGTCTAGGAGTATTCTCACTATTCTAGCATTTTTCTCTAAGGACTGGGGGCTCCATTCCACACATCTTACTGCACAATATAACTTTCTGTTGTATCCAATCCATGCACATAATTTCCCCTACACCAGTGATTTCTCGCATGGCTACTTCTATCTACATTTCGTACTTATCGCTAACCAGTCCCACTTACTGATGCTAACAAAAATATGTATAATGTATATGGGTTAACTGCATGCTCTTCCAATCGAAAAAGGAAAGGAAAAGACAAACAAACATAAGTACTAAAAAACTTACAAAAAAAACAAGTATTACACCAAAATTTTGGGGTGGGCTACATGAATCCTTTTCATCATTTAGCTTTGTTATGGCCCCACTAAAATGTCCAGTTCGGAAATTGGACTTGTTTCAAATATTAACACTAGTGAAAACCACTCTCATCTTCTTTGTCTCACTGAGTCACACTTTGTTGAATGTTTTCAGGTTTGGCAAAGTGCTGAAAGGGGAGATCCAGCTGTGCAGGAAAATTTCACAGGAAACAGGTATTCTTTTAGATCCTGTCTACACATTGGCTGCTTGGGAGCAAGCCATCCTTTCACTCGCAGAAGTTGAGGACTCCAAGGTGGTAATGCTTCATACTGGAGGTACTCTTGGTTTGTTCGGATTGGCTCAAAGATATACTTCCGACTTCCACCCTAGAGATCAAACTTTTGACATTTTGTCGAATTGAAGGAATCAGGATGCAGTTACTGTTTATTGAATGAAACAACAGATGGGAATGTTCCTTGAAATCTGAGTTCCTCGAAGTTAACTGTAGTGCCTTTTATGTTCACCCTTTCCTATGTAGGAACTAATATGTTAGGTGTATGAAATTTTTCTCTTTTGTCAGTTTTGGGAGTATTGGCAGTACACATACACCATGTTGATACAGTAGGATGTAAACATAACCATGAACGAGTGCAATACTTCATTTTCAGATCGAGCACTGTAAAGAAAGTCTAATTTTGTGTTGTGTGATTCAGTTAGTGGTGGGAAAGTAGACTCTCTCAAGCAGAAGAACAAAGTTTCAGCCACGCTTTTGCACCACTGACTAAAATGACCTTGGAAAAGTGAAGTTCTTGTAATTTTTTAGAAAAATTGTCAGTTTGATACAGGTATAGATATGAGATCTTGTGCGAGTAGCTGAGGTGCAAATGGAACTTTGTAATTCAAGCATGCTTTATTAGTTTACTTATTTCACCACTTCACAATGAGACAATATGTATTCCTCATGTTTGTAGCAGACATTAGTTAGATGGAGAAATTTGAATCACTTTTGATAAAACATGCGGATGATACATTGTATTTTTGAATGCTACAATATTAACAGAACTGTTTATACATTAAGTTTAGGAATTGGCCAACTGTTCCGCCTCTTAACATATTGCTGGACCGTGCTCAAATAACCTGTGCCACAGGATGAAAACAAGGCTAAAATACAAAAATATCTATACACCCAAAAACATGCTACACATTGTGATATACCGGAGCAAATAAGAGCAAGCAAGTTCACCATCAACCTCAAACTCACAGTAAAAGAACATGCTACACATTATACACCCAAAAACATCTTTTTCTTGTTACGTGCATTTTTCACCTGTAATAGTGATACAATAAGTTACAAGAGGTACACTGCAGACTGTGCTAACAAACATGAGCAGCTGCTGCGGAAAAAGAATTGTAAATGACTGGAATGGTTGTTACTACACAAATGCTGAAGAAGGGATGCGAATGTCAAGTTCATCTAACGTTGGATGGTCATGAAGGCTCAAGCAGTGCTCATTTGCCAAGTGCAAGAGACAGATGAAGAAAAGATGTGGGGAAATATCCTTGGGCAGAGAGGCAGCAGGACATGACTCACTTGAAAATTGACGCAAAATTTGCTTTAAAGATACGGCCGCCTTGTTTCCCTGTTTTAAGAACATCATAACAATTTGAGCCTGCTACTGCATGAAAATGGAATATTGATGTACGAAGCAATGTACTACATAAGAGAACTTTCAAATGAAATAAACAATAAACAAAGGAACTTTTACATAAGGGGGGAAGATCAATAAAGGAACTTTTACATAAAAGCAAGAAATTCAGGTAGAATGAGTGTAAAAATCTGAGCTTGAAGCCCACCCCTTAAACTAAAACACTTGAAATTTGGTGCAGTGAAGTATGAAAAGAAAGGGTATGACCAATCAGATACTGAGAGAAGTAAGAAACCCAAATCGAGTGTCAAAGAACCAAACAACTAAAGCCACAAATTAACTTTAAGCCTGAGAAGTCGAGTGTTTAACTAAAATTCTCATTTCTGCTGCACAACAGAAGAGAAGTATTTAGTAAATTATATAGGTAGAGTTATCACAGAAGTTAAAAGGAAAGGTAATTAGCACATTATATTAGTTAGAAGGAAAATGGTATGATAGTCCTATATTGCGTGCAAGTGAGAAGAGAACAACCAACTCACCACATCCGACATCTGAACTGATTCTCGTATGTTGCTCCAAAGCATATCTTTTAACGCATGAACATCAACTTGTTTGGATACTTTGTCATATTGTATGTCGACTTTGTTTACCTAGGATTTCCGAATAAAAATGAAAGCAGCATGAGCATGATAATGTTTTAAATCCGTGATAAATAAATTATCTCTAAATATCATGGAATTCGAAAATTACTTTCATAACATACTCTACTATCAAAAGTTCAGAAGAGAAAATAACCAAACAAAGATCTATAACCCTACAAACATATAGAAAGATAGATCTATAACCCTACAAACATATAGAAAGATTTACAAGGGCTAACAAGATACAAACAGGAAGCTAAGAAATTTTGATTCAGCAAAACAATACAAAACAAAATGCAAGAAAAGAAAGCACCTAGAACAATCTCAATGATTTGTTTGTGCTGAAAAAGGGTGCATCACCACTGCACACATGCATATAGAAATGCCAAAAAAACTGAGGGCAGATCACTGAACATTTATCCCATAAAGAAACTAACTTAACATTTTATCTGAGACTCTTCCATCAAAATAGATCAGCTAAGAAGCATAAGGCTTCATCAAAGATTTAATAGCATTCTTTACGCATTTAGAAGAAATCAATGGCTAATAGACGACTTAAAATTTCATTACTTGCCAGCCACAATCACTGTACTAATACTCGTAAGACGATTTCCACAAGCAATGTCAAATTTCAAGAATAAGATATAATCATAACTCTAGTCCCTTTAAGTATTACTAGTGTGTACCCCGTGCAAAGCACAGCCTTATGTTTTTTTAAGCATTGAATTTTGAACCAGCCTTCCTCTAAGGTTTAATACATTTGATTTGAGTATTGTATGTTTAAAATTAGAAATCATATCTACTGCTTTATACTTAAAAGGCTACTGTCATAAATCATAATACAGTAAATTACTGCAGTATGAACAGTTATTTTACTCATCTATACATAGGACCCCAAAGATTTATTGTTCTTGCTATAGTAATTTACTGTAGTATTTAGTGTAGCATGAACAGTAAATCTTGGATTCTGAGTAGATTTTAGAGAAATGACGGATGCAAGTTTTTTATTTCAATGGGCGTAAGAATTTTGCTTGTGTATCAAAGTGTAATAACAAAGAAAAGTCATAAACTTGAACCCTTGATTGGTTTTTTACTCCACATCCACATTCTAAACAAACAAATTGCTTCATAGCATACAATGTTACCTGAAGATTGAAAACCAGTGGCAAACATTGCTAGACTATTTACTTTTAACAAGATAGGATTCAAGCAAAGGCCAAACCTGCCGTGGTGGGCGAACAAGAGTTCCTGGATCTTCGATGTCACTATTATATGTCGGAAAGTCGTCATTTCCCATATTGTCATCGTCATATGACGCAAATGGAATGAAGCCATCATCCTGCCGTGACTCATCTGCAAATAAAATAAAATAAAACATGATACTGAATCTTTATTTCAAGCAATTCAGGAGTAATATATTATTAAAAGGTAGAATCAAGCAATTATAATCAATTTAAAGTAAATTTTAAGTAAAAGCACAAGAAAGAACGATATTCTAGCTAAGAACAATATTCTAGCTAACAAAACTAGATTTCATTCACATTGCTAGTAACAATAAAGATGTAACTTACTAGGTGACTGATAGTACATTTCAACACTTTTGAAGGCTTAATGGCCAATATTTTAAGACTTTTGCAGTATATACCGAATTTTCCTTCCTCTTATGCATGTTACAAGGTATCTGTCGCTATTTCCAACCCAAAAAATATATTAACAAACACTCGAAGGTTTAACTTGTAAACAAATAAAAAGGTATGATGAGGTCATGAGAGGGGAAAACTCATATATTTCTACAAGATGACATCAAATTTTATGAACTCACATCTCACAAGATCACCAAAACATCATTTATGAAGGAAAACAAAACAACCATGTATAAGATTAAAGTTATTAAGCCTAAGACATTGAGAACGAACCATCTCCCTCTTCAAAAAGAACTGTGAATATTATAGGGCCTAAGACATTGAGAACGAATTATCTGTCATTTAAAATGAATTGTGAATATTAAAAGGCCAAAAACATTGAGAACGAATCATTTCCCTCTTCAAAAAGAAAGACACCTGGACATATCTAGAACAATTTCAAACTTGTAACTGAGATATAATATTACTGGAGCCTAGTTTTAAAGGGTTGTTGCAATTAGCTTTCCATAATCACGAGCATTTCAACCTCCATCAATGTGAATTTCTATTCAAGCCAAACACATTAAGGTTTGGCGTATATTTTATCAATGCCTCGGAATTCAATGTAGTTCCATACAGCAAAACTATAATATTTCCCTTCTTTTAGACTTTCCGATTTCAGAAGCTCTTCTTTTGTCCATCGTTGCATTGGCATGAATTTGGTACTACTTTAGAGAGTGTCAGGTGAAGAAAAATTAAATCTCAATGTAGCCTTGCACCATGGCTGATTCCCCCTTTTAAGAGGAGAAGGCTTAGATGATGATTGATAGTGAGTCGGTTATTCCTAAATTTCTTGAAGCTTTGAGAATATGGCATTGGCATGCAATGGCATCGCCATGCAATGGCATCGCCATGCAATGGCATCTTTGAAGTATATTGATCGAATTATAATGCTTTCACTATGTGAGTCATAAACCCATATTTGTTTATTCTAGCATTAATAGGCCTGTTATCCACTATCCACCTCCACTTTCAGCAACAATGAAGATGGTCTATTGTATACAGAGATGATGATTGATGTTTGTTAGTGAGTCGATTATTCCTAAATTTCTTGAAGCTTTGAGAATATGGCATTGGCATGCAATGGCATCGGCATGCAATGGCATCTTTGAAGTATATTGATCAAATTATAATGCTTTCACTATGTGAGTCATAAACCCATATTTGTTTATTCTAGCATTAATAGGCCTGTTACCCACTATCCACCTCCACTTTCAGCAACAACGAAGATGGTCTATTGTCTACAGAACAATGCCTCAACTTAGAAAGAGCTATGCCAGTTGACATATTTAACTAATTTAAAAATAAAACTTATTAATTGGGTCATAGATGTATGGAAATGGAGTTTAACTACAGTTTCACACGCAAGCCTGAAGGCAGCTTATTTTTTAATATTCCTTTTTTCTGCAATTGACATCTTTCATCTACTTTTCTCAAACAGAATGATACATAAAAATTCATAAAAAGGGCATTGAGAAACTATTTACATGATCTGTGAATTTTCATTAAGAAAACTACATAAACAATATATGATGAACCAATTTATCTTTTTCCCAGCTGCTTATCTAATCTCCTAGTTATCGAAATGTTTGGATGTGCGGAGAACGAGTATACTTCTTTAATGATGGAATATATCTAGGGTGATAAGAATCATTTCCTTTAAATGCATAACTAACGAGTTAGGCTATCCGAAAGGGACCAAACCTCAAAGTCTAGAAACCACGTGACAAACTATTCATCTTTCAAATCCAAATTTCTTTCCCAGTTGAAATTTCAGTAATTGAGTATTATGTCATAAAGGTGACAAAAATACACCTGATTTCATGATGAGAATATTGACGTATTAATGGCGAGCAAGGCACCCTTTCACTTGGTTGTGAAACAAAAAGGAAATGTTAATGTTGATTATAGATTTTTAATTGCAGGTCTTTCATTGAATTTTTTATTTTGCTCCAAAAAGATACTAAATTAATTAATTTATAGAAGGTCAAATAGCAATATTCAGAAGAAAAAATGAACAAATAAAATAGAAAGCAGAAATACACATGCTTGGTCAAAGTTAGATCAATAGAAGATTTCCTAATGGTATAAGGTTTTCTTTTCCACCACTTATGGCATTGAAACTAAATATACTCTCCTAAAGATATGTTAAAGTAATGGCAACAGGAAACTGTAACAAGAGTGGCAATAAATAGAGGCAACCATGTGAACTAATAAACTGGAAAAAAGAGATATATTTGATGTCTAAAATATGAAAATTGAATATAAGGAGACAGAAGAAACAAGCGAAACTCAAGTCATGAAATGGCTGTACATTGCAAGATTTTGTAACAAAGAATACACAGGAAAAGCAACTTACCAGAACACCTTCTTGCTTTTTTCCCAAGACACTACAAGAAAGTAGGGCACAAGTTATCAGCTAGAAATTGAAACATACGAAGTTAAAAGAAAATTATTTTAGGCAATTAATGTACCATAACATCTGGAAGCAAAAGCAGCTTGACAAGATTTTCAGGTTTGTAGTGGCAATCTTCTGGGAGAGTAATATTGCAGGGTGCTCGGTTCACTGGTAGCAGCAGAGACTTTGGATTTTTGGGGGGTGCAAAAATATTCAGCATCGCAATGTCCAGAGATTTTGTGAAATCGAGATCAGCCACTCCCTTTTTTATCTTTGGCTTCTTACTTGCTAATTCTGATCCATTATCTGTGAATGGAATTTGTTCTAAAGCTACAGCGAGACACACAAGTTAAACTTCGTATTATTCGTAAAGGCAATAAGTTGATTGGTTATACCTTTGACCTTCTGGTACTTCCAATGATCAGGACCCGCCCAAGCATTTGATTTTGAAGTAAATCCCAACCCCAAACAAAGGAAATCAGCAATTTTCTCAAGTTTCTGGTTCATATTAGGACCCTGGATTGTATATTCACTATTCTCCTACACCAGTAAGAAGTTCTGTTAGCCTATCATCCTACCTATAACATGCACTGCATGAGACATACTCACATCTTCATGGCTAGTAAAATTTGCATCTGTACTGATGAAGCAGTTGCTAGATTCATTGTCACTAAAACTTGCATGCTCATTGTGATCAATACTCCAAGCCCCACAATCATCAAAATTGCCTTCAACTTCAGGATGGTCATAATCATCTGTGTCGTCTTGAACCAAAGGAGGTTCTTCTACAGTAACCACAGCTGATGGCCTACAATTATCTTCATCAAACTGACTCACGATATCCCTCAAAGTTGGAGAAATGTCACTTTTTGTGGGCAAATAACTTATCATCTGCTCAATGATTTCTGGAAGGAAGCATGTAAAGAAGCAAGGAAGAGAGTACTGAGTATACCACATGATAAAAGCATTGGTTCATCATATAAGGTACCTGTACCTTTAGCAAATGTAAGATCAATTACATCAGCATCATGGTTCTGCGGTTCAGTTAAAATATCCTTCTCTGGTGACTCAAATGAATCAAAAATCACGCGACAACTGCCATAAACTCCAAGGTTGTTTAACAAAAGACCCTTGGCTCCCCCTTCATCAAACTGAGCCGATGTTTGATGGTAAAGAGGATCAACAGTGAATGCCACTGAAATATGAAATCTAAAATTAATGAAACCCACATTGAATGCCACTGAAATATGAAATTCACAGAGAATGTCGTGTCCAAGCCCATGACTAGATACACACATCTGCAAGTGTATGTATGTGCATTCGTGTGTGCATGAATGTGTGGCCGCATAACTATGCGTGTTTGAGTGGGTGTGCGCGCATTTGGCCATATGTGTGGATGTGGGTGTTTATATGTGTGAATGTGGAATGTTCGTGCATGTATGTGCATGAGCTAATACTAGGATATAGCACAGGATATTACCATCAAACTTCTTTATGTTGAGGGCTTCATAAGAAGATTCCAAAGTTGTTAAAGGTGACAACTGCACGTAATGTACAGGTTAAGGTAAACACTGACATGTGAATCTAATTGATTAGTTGTGACCATATATACCTTCCTGTCCAGATCTTTCTTTGCAAGTCCTTCCGTTTGATCATTCTGACTATGTTCACCATCTCCGGCGTTTTCTATAGTCAAAGAAACATAATGCAAGGGCGTTAGTGGAGACTTTCATGATTTTCAGCATCCTAAGATAATTCTAATGTTTACAGAAGAAGTCAATAAATCATACTTAAACACCAATATGAGAATAAAATAGGAGATAAATATGCCTCCATTGTGTCAAAAAAACCCATAACCAGAATTTCATTAAAAAATGTATGTTTCTAATGATAACTGCACGTAGGAGTAGCAATGTTTTAAATATCGGCCGATAAATCAATATTATCGGCGATTTATTGGTTTTGGGGAACTTCCGCTATGATAAGTTCGATTCTAAATCGGTTATCGTTTTTGGATGTTTATCGCCGATAATGCGGCGATAAGGTGAGTTATCGGCCGATATTGTCGGCCCAAAAATCGGAATTATCAGTCTTTGGGTTGAGTTTTGATTTCGGGCAACGAGCACCTATTCAATGCAATTTAAACCCAACCCGACCCGAGTTTCCACCATTGGTTAATGATTCTAAACATAATTATTTACATTTTGGTATGTTTATATTTCATTAAGTATGGTTAGATTACATTTTAGAATATTATATTATATATATCACCATCCGGTAACGTCACTCTGATAAATACTACGTATCCCCGATATCTGCTATCTGATATGGATTTTGACTATCCGATAAATCCCCGATAACTGATATTTAAAACCTTGAGGATTAGTAATCAATCTAATTAAAATTGATGATGTTGTAGGCAGTCATTTCATTGTATATCAGATGAAACGTTGAGATGATGAGAAGTTAATCATAACCTACTATTAGAGGAACTTTTGCGTTAATTGTTAAGAATTAAAAAGATAACAAGAAAAGTTTAGATTATCAACAGAAAAAGTTATGGGCAACTTCTACCAGGAAACTTGCATACAGGTGAAACCCGGGTCAATTAATGTGTGAAAGTACTAGTTGATGAGTGCCTAACATTAATCCCAACTACATGATTCATTATTTTACATGAAACTAGTTGTTATAATTTGTAAATTCATACACTTTGAAAGTTTTCTACTTCAGAAGCATGGAATTTGCAAATTATCATCAACACAATTTGCAAATCATCATATTCCTCATATTTAATCTTCTTGTAACCAGAGACGTTATTCTAAACTCTGAATCAGATAGGGTCTTTTTTTGTAATACTTTCATTTGGGATGTTAATCTAAACTCTAAATCAGTCTAATCAGATAGGGTCTTTTGGGTTGTACTTCCATATGGTCTCAGTTTAACTTGAGAATAATGGAACTGTATATCTAAGATCTAAG